CGATTTGACTTCTTCTTCTTTTGTTATGAAGGATGTTGGTGCTGGGACTATATGCGGTTGCTTCTCTGAACCCTCGAGCTCTGCTGGTCTCAGCGGCGCCTCTCCTTGGGTCCAGCCCTGACTCAGAAGGTCTTGGAGTTTGTCTTTGAGCTGCGATACCGCCGCCGTCACCTCCTCAAAGCTCGGAGGAGGGACGTTGACGCCGGTGTGTGTAGATTTGCCGAGTGCTGACAGCGAGTAGAAAGTGAGTAGAAAGCGGTGGTGGTCCTCGGTGTATGAAAGCTGCTTCAGCTCCCAGTCTTTCTTCTTTAACTCGGCGATCTCGTTCTGCAGCTTCTCCTCGAGCTCTTTGACCCGACGCGTTTCTGTTTCCTGCTGGATTCTGATCTGCTGCTGCACTTCGGAGCTTCGTCTCGCGATGAGTTGGGCCAGCTGGCTGAACACCATCTGGCTATTCCTTGCTGCTTCATCGGCAGAAATGTTGATGACCCCCACCTGCTTCTGAAGCACTGTCAGATCTTGCTCCAAGTCTTGGATTCTCTGCTGGATGTTCTGCCGACATGGATCGAGCTCATTCTGCCTCTCGGCCCGCTCTGCTGCCAGTGACACGGCGTCGTGGCCTTTGTGTTCACTGATAGAGCAGAGGTAGCAGATACACTGCTTGTCACTGCGGCAGAAAACTTCCTTCACTTTGCTGTGGAGAGAGCAGATTTTTTCTTGAAGGTTTGCTGAGGCTTCAACCAGTTTGTGGCTCTGAAAGGCCTGAGAATCGTAGTGAGGCTGGAGATGATCGTCGCAGTAGGAGGCCAGACACTGTAGACAGGACTTGGTGGCTCTCTGCTTCCTCCCAGTGCAGAAATCACAGGGCACATCTCCAGGTCCAGCATAGTTGTGATGAACAGGAGGAGCAGCTTGGAGTTCAGTTTTCTTCAGCTCCTCCACCAACTCTGCTAACATGGTGTTTTTGCCCAGCACTGGCCTCGGTATGAAGGTTTTCCTGCACTGGGGACAAGAGTGAACCCCCCTTTGATCCTCTCCATCCCAATGGTTGTTAATGCAGATCATGCAGTAGCTGTGCCCGCAGGGAAGAGTCACCGGATCCTTCAGCAGATCCAAACAGATCGAGCAGCACAACTTTTCTCTGTCCAGTTGAGGCATTTTAATTCTGAGAGACAGCCAAGAGTTTCTCTTCTTCTCAGCAGATTAAAGGCGAGTTCTGATCCGAACCCAAACTCGCGCCAGTCCGTCGCACGTCTGCAAGACACGACAGCAGCAGGAAATATGCGGACAGAAACCAGCTGCTGTGTTTAAGAGCAGGCAGCAGAAAGAAGCTATCAGGTTTAACTTCATTCCAGTCCAAATATGATGTCAACATGCATCACAAGACCACCCCCCTCCTCTTCCAGACCCAGTGAGCGCAGCTACCTGCATCACCAGGAGAGGACCGAGGTCATCACAGGCGATCGGGCCCTTCAGGAGCCCGCAGTGTGCTCGTCTTTGTGAATACACTCAGCACCCATGCCTCCTATAACACACTGAGATCAACCTGCCTATCACAACTTGGAGCTTTACTCATATTTGCACATTTGTGCGTGTGCAGTGCAGAGCTGCTGTTAGAAGAACAGAAATCTGATCACTGTAGAGGAGCTGAAAATGAAGCATTCAGTCGATAATAATAATAATAATAATAATAAATGATCAGCGTGTAACGCACGAGCCTGGAACAGCTGTGCTGAGAAATCTGACACACAGAACAAGACGTGATTTCTACTTTAATAATGAGTGAATGTGTGCGGCCTCGCTCCGCACCGCTTCCTTCTCCTCAACTTGCCATGACAAGAATTTCATGACACTTGCTGAAAAATGCGAATGCTTGGCTGGGAAACCAGCAGGTCTGCAAACAGATCCAACAGTTTCTTTTAACTCTCCTGAATCTGATTTGCAGATAACAACACACACATCCAACACACAAAGGTCGCCTCTCGTCTCTTATGTACAGTATTGCTACTATTGCACAACTGACATTCAATTCTATTGTTTTTCTTAATTTTTGCTGCTCTTATCTTTGTATTGTCCACTTTGTTTCATGTTCAAGCAAATTTCCCTGATAAAGGTTTATCTTATCTTATGTCAGGTGTTTACATGCTTACAGTGTAGGAACAGGTTGATGAAAGGGGAAGATAATCCTCCTGTACTCACGAGTATGTGTTTAGTGCAGAGGACAGTATCGTCAGGTGTGCAGGCTGGATCACAGAGCACCCAACCTCTCCTCGCCTCCTCGTAACTCACGAGAACTGTAAATGTTGTGAAATTACAGAACATGAACATGTTGTGTGCCGAGTCACGAAGAGAAGTCTTTGTTTTATTTGAGGATTACCTTCAGACAGGCAGAAGAAAAAGTGCAGTTTGGTGCACACAGAAAGCTGAGAGGCTGCAGAGGAGGAGGAGTTTATCAGGTTCATCTTCATTCCATGAAGTCACGGAGCGAGAAACTGCGACTGACAGCCTGATCTGGGAGTACAAACTCCTCTAAACAGAAAACCAGAAGACCAACGGAGGAAAGCTTTGACGTCATTCAGACTCTTTGCTGTGCTTTCCTTGTTTTCCTTCATTGACACGTGCACAGAGGCTGACCGGAGACCAGCCACAGCAAACCCACCTGAATGTACAGAATTCAGGAAGCACAGAACGGTCACAGGCCTCTGGCCTCATACGGGTCGAGCACTCCATGTTGACCTTTAACGGCAGATTCATGTTGGGGAGTTCAGGTTTGGTGATACTTTCTTGTAACTTTAATCCAAACAGTGAACTCGCGTAGGAGAGCGACCCCCGGAGTCGTCGTTCGCAGAGCGCCTGCAGCCTCGAGTCAGCACGGTGGCACTTATGCTTAACTGATCTGCAGCCTCCTCTGCCAGCGCGATGCAAACTGATGGAAATGCTCAATAAACGCACATGCTGGCTTGAAGGCAGAGTCAGTGAATAAATCCTGAGCTGCAGCTTCGTCCTCGGCCTCCTGCTAGGACCCATTCTGAGCGTTCACCATGGCAACCGGCTCATACAGAGCAGAGCATCTATTTTAACCCGGCGGAGCCAAGAAATGGCCGACTTCAGCGTTTCTGTCATAGATGAAGCTGCTTCTTTGATCTGGATCTTGAAATCCAGCTCTCAGCTGTGGCTAGCGGCTCTGCGGCGAAGCGCCTGTGAACCGTGGGTCAGAGGTCACGAGGCTGGACAGACGGGGGTGTCTGTGGCTCCGTCTGCTGTGGCGAGACACAGGAGCAGCTGAGAGGAACTTTGAAACAGACAGCACTGTTCATCTGTGTGTGATTCGGGGCGATTTAGATTCTGTTGTGCATTTAAAAAGCTGCCTGACAACATTCAGTGACTGTGTTCGTCGTGCGAACAGATCCGGACGCGTTCAGCAGCCCGCGATGACCCACAGCTAGTCCTGAAGTCATCTCAACCTAAGCTTCACTTCATCTCCAACAAGATGAGTGTGACCAAACCAAATCACTGCGATTACAGCAACATAAATGTTAATCACATGTACAGCTGCTTCCTGGAGCAGAAGCAGGGATCGTGCACGCGGATCCTTCACTGCTTACTCTTGCTCAAATATGTGGTCTGTCTGAGCGGACACGAGGGGATCAGGTTTAACATCATTCCAGGACGAGCAGGACAGTTTAACAAAACAGCAAACATCATCGCGGGAAATGTTCTGTCAAAACAACAAAAGCAGGCCAGCACATTCCCATCAAGGCTGAGGCCGCGGACGCCGCTCTGACCTGCTGTCAGCTTTGGTCTCAGGGCTGCAGAGAGCCAGCTTTCTTTGGGTTAGCTGCTTAAACCAAACCCCAAAGCCTGTTAACATAATACAAGTCTTTGTTGTCATTGCACAGTCACACCAAGCACAACAATGCAACAACATCAAACTGTCCCATGTCGGCACTACGCACAACTAAACACAACACTGTAACTTGAAGTGCCAGAAAGGTAAGCGCAAAAAAGGATGACTTGATAAACAAATAAAAGAATGAGTGCATGTTTATTATTATTGTTATTGCCCCCAAAAAGTCCAGGGAGGTAGCCAATCAGGTCAGCTGTGAGCATTGATCAGGGCTGTTGTAAAAGCTGTCGTGGAGTCTGTTTGTTCACAGATAATCAGTTTTACATAAGAAGAACCACAATTATTGTTCTGTTAGCCTAACCCAGAGCTTCAGAGCGGGGTGGGGGGTGGGGGGTGGGGGACCCTTGGAGGACACTGCTAGCATAATGGACAGGTTTGTGATGAGGCGCCCACGCAAACGCAAAGCAGGAGATGAAGCATCGCTGAATATGTTTCCAAACCAACTTCATTCAAAGACTAGAAAATATGGTGAAGCAAATCTGCCCTTTGGCTTCACCTGCACAGGTGCTGAGGCAGGTCTCCCTGCAGGGTTGGTTTCCCTGCATCAGGAGCAGCGCTGGGCTGTTTAAACCACGGACAAACAGGATCCCACATTCTTGATCTTTAGTTCACAAACACTTCTCATAATGACTAACTGCTCCTGACATGTTGGAGATGTTTGCTCTTTATACAGTAAAGTTACAGCAGGATACAAATAACATCAGGCTGATCCTGCAGCGATTTGTTCCCCCTGTCACGGACAAACAGGATCCCACAGCTGTTTATGTTTTTGAACACATTTTGCATTTTTTGAAAAGTGTATTGAGATCAATGTTGAACATTATTACACAGACAAACATTTTTCTTGTAAAACAAAGGGGGCCCAGTAAAAACAGTTTGGGAACCACTGCGTCATTAGTGTTCGATGGTGTGCGTCTCCTGGCACTGGGCGTAACTGCTAAATGAATTTCCTGAGTGGAGCTGTAATCATCACCCTGATTAAATCTGTCTGCTCCGTTTAGACCTTCGTGGCCAAAGAAAGACGCGAGTTTAGAGAGAAGCTGGTCGTGCTCGGCGTCTGTGCTGCTCAGGTTACATAACACCACGCGACACAGCACGTTACATTTTATTTTAATAATAAAAGACCAAAAGCACCTGAAATGCATCAAAATACACATGTACGGGTATTACTGTGGAGTATCAGGCCCTCTGTACACTGGCACACAGTGTCTCGTCCACAGGCTGCAGCACAGGGACGGCTCACCCCCAAATCAACACATTTTAGAGTAATTAGTGCAAAGAAAATAGTTCCTGAATGAAACACTTGTTAAAAGCTCGGTGTCGGTGCATCTCCTCACATCCCCGTGAGGGAAGAGCAGTCGGACCTACAACACACCTGATTTTGAGGTGAACTGCTCCTTTAACGGCGCCCTGCAGGTCCTCGCACAGTTCATCCACAGGTGGGACAGTTTCACATTGAATCTGTCAGCTGGTTCACTGTGCACTCACACCACAGATCTCAAACATCGTTTTCCACCTGCAGTCTGGCGTGCTCAGCGTGCTGACACTAGGTGGCGCTACAGGAACAGCCTCACTGTCCAGGAAGTCCGGTGCAGGGTTATCATCGGCTGTTTTTACACGCTCCTCAGAGGGCCACGCCACCGCTCTGACTAAGAGCGTGCCGTTAACGGCTGACCTCGTTACATGCAGGTGGCACTGACTCGCTGCACCCTGTGGGACAAACACAGGAGGGTCCGACTCCAGGCCTCGAGGGCCGGTGTCCTGCAGATCTCACCCTGGGTCAGCACACCTGAATCACATGATTAGTTCATCACCAGGCCTCTGGAGACCTTCAAGACATGTAAGGAGGTCATCATTTAGCCATTTAAATCAGCTGACACGTCTAAAACCTGCAGGACGCCGGCCCTCGAGGCCTGGAGTCGGACCCTCCTGATCTGACACGTTTCCTTCTCAGTCTGCTGACAGCTTTAGGCTACGTCCACACGTATTTTTGAAAACTGAGATTTTCCGTTCTCGTTTAAAAAAATAAAATAAAATAAAATAAAAAAAACCCGTCCACAGATGCAAAAATGAAGCAAAACGCTGCTATGAACATGCCAAAGCAACAGGTGGCGATATATTCCTAACCGTGTTGGCCAATCAGAGGCCTAGAAGCCTGGGTGGGAAAGAGTAAACAAAGACGGGGCATAGAAGCAGAACAGAGTGCTGTTTGTGGAGGCACAGTAACTGTGTGTGTAAGCATGTAAACACTGCAGAGAGTAAAATTAACAGCATTTTGTCCACGTCCGCCACTGTAGAAATTCTCAATCTAACCTGTTCACAGCCGACTCTGAAGTACGCTGTGGACGCTTGTGTTTACGCAAAGCTAACCGCGGCCGGACTTCCTGCACAGTGTGGACTGTTCCTTTAACTTTGAGAGCTGCAGTGTTAATATGAAAGCATGCAAATGCAACACTGTTTACCTGAAGCTCCTGGCTCACACAGTATTTACACCCCAGTGCTACATAAAGGTACATACTGGCAAACAGAACCGAGGCACAGAAAACAAGGACAATAACCACGGTGCAAAAATACGTAGTAATTACTTTCGGTCTTCTTTTAAAACTGACGAAGCTTTAAGGCAAAAAATCCGACAGGCTGGAAGCTTCAACCTGTCCAGCGTCTCCACAGCCGTTCATGTGCAGCACGTCTGGTTCTTTCTGGTCTCTCGCTGTCCAGGCTGTGCGCAGAAGTGCACGCCGCGAGGTCGGCGCTCACAGGGAACCAGGACGACTGAAAATGAAGCAGAAATTAGAAAAATCTGAGCAGAACGTGATCGAGAATTCTACGAACACCAGGTTGGATATGCCCGTGCAGAGCAGCCTCACCTGCTGGGGGGGTCCCCGTTAGACAGGCCGCAGCCTGTAGCGGAAGCGGACATCTTCAGCTGGTAGCATGACTCCCAGGCCGGCTCTGCTGAGGTCCAAGGTGGCTTTGCTCTGGCCCTCCTCCAACTCCAGGTCCAAGTAAAGCAGGATCACGGACAGGAACTGTTTGATCTCATTGATTGCGAAGAAACGTCCGGGACACTTGCTGGCACCTGAGCCGAAAGGCATGAGGTAATGCTTGAGCTTCTGGCCACGCTTGTAGAAGTTGGTCTTCTTCTGGCCGTTCTGCATGTAGCGGTCGAACCGGAACGTCTGACGGCACAGAGAGAAGAACGACAGCGTGACGAACAACAGTCAAACGTGGCATCCCTTCACTTCAAATGACTGTTACAGCTTCGGCTATAAGCCCTGAGAGGAAGAAACCACCGACTTAATAAACCTGGGCTCAGATGGAGCCCTGCCACAGAATGATGACCTTTCACCCCGTCACTCCTGGGACAGGCTGAGGTGCTGATAAGCTGGAAAGCGGAAGAAAAATGGATGGAGGATGGAGTTTGACTAAAATGCCAACAGATGGCAGTATTGTTCCCTGTGCTGCTTTAATAACCCATCATTTCCCCCAACAGCAGATAATCAGTCTGTGTGGATTTCAAAGGTTTCCAGACTTTCCTCTTAATTTGGAGCTGATCACATGACTGGATGAAAACACCTTAAAGTTACACAAAAACCAGAACTGTGATTCTGCAGGGATTCAAGGCTTCAGGGGTAACAGCCCCTCTGAATACAAACGCAAAGAAAGACATGCCACGCTGTCATTTGGATTTTTTAAAGTCTCACCTTAAGGCAGGTATGTAATCAGTTCAAAACAACAAATGATTAAGGTGCACTGAGTCCTTTTAAGTTGAAAAGTGGTCCAGCGTACCTGTGGGTCCTCGTAGATCTCGGGGTCCAGGTGAATAGCCTGAGGGTACAGGGCAATGATGTCTCCCTTTCTGACGGCCGCCGAGCGCTCGGCATCCAGACGCAGACTGAAGTCCTCCTGAGCCACCCGGATGTTCATGGAGGCTGAGCACAGGCGGAGGCTCTCCTCGATGGCGCTCTCTGTGGAGAAAGTCGGGTCAATGATCTTCAGGTTCACATCTCTAAGTGTACGAATGCAGAATCTCTGTGTGCACGTACCCATGTAGAGAAGTTTCTCCAGGTGCGCTGGGGTCAGCGTCACATCCTTATCTCTGCTGAATTCCACCCCGCTGAGTCTCAGGACGTCCTCGAGCTCCTGACGGACGAACTGCAGCGCCTCAGGGTGACTCACCAGGTAATACGTGACCCAGAAAATAGCAGGAACCGTGTTCCCCAGAGACGCCCACAGGATGGCAAAGTGATGAGCTGAAAGTCAGCAGGATGCAGAATGTCATCCACAAAAAGCTCCCACGCAGCATTTACACTCAGGTCACAAAAACAATTATTGTCTATATTGTGGGCTGTTGAGCTGCCAGTGGCACTGGTACACTGCACAGGGAGGGAAGAAAGGCCTAAATCCATCAGCAGCTGCAAACACATAAAGCAGGCTGACATTACGCTTCCCCCGTTAAGTATTTGGGACTGTGCTTAAAAGCCGAGTCAGTTCAATTTAGATGAACTCTACCATTAAATAAATATCATCATATAGAGCCAAACTTGGTAGAAGCTTGATGATGGAAACCAAAAGCATTTGGTCAAGGTGGGATTTGCTGAGGGACATTTATTAGAAGAGTTCAAAGAAGTGATTCAAAACTTGAAATGACCAAGACAAGTTCACGCCCACGATGGGTGGATGTTAACCTCCGACCACAGCTGCACATGAGCCACTCGAGGTCTGGGCTGTAGGACAGCAGAAACATGTTTGCACAGCAGCTAATTATCTACCTGCTTTGTCGAAATCCCTCAGCGTGTCATACTGCTCAAACATCTCGAATCGTGTCCTGATGAACTCTGAAGAATGTGACCAGCAAGACATCTGGTGCGGCAGGAAGTAGTTGATGAGCCTCTCGCGGATCGCCCTAGTCCGTCCCAGCAGCCAGATGGGTATCTGAGCGACGAGGAGCGGAAACATCTTGTCAAACTTGATGAAGTCCGTCTCCAGGACGCTCATCCCGCTGTGGCGGCTGGCGGATGGCGGCTTGCCGTACATGGTGAGAAAGGTCGCCTCGAACATGATCGAGTTGCAGAACTTGTGCATGTAGGCGGTCTTCCAGCTGCTCTCCTGGTCCAGGTAGTCCTGACGAAATACCAGCATCAGGTTACCCATCATGCTCTCTGTCAGGGGCGTGAGGTTATCCCCTTGGAGGAGAATGAAGCCGCGTGTGATCTGCTCCTTCAGGCCGGGGAACTTGCTAGTAACAGGTGGATAGCCAAAGGCAAATGATGCCACCCTGTTGGAGAACTCGTCAAAGTCCAGCTGCCGGCCTTGTTTGATGATGTTGGGATACAGTAAAGGATCCATGATGAAGGTCATGTATTTACCTGTATTTATAAAAGATGCAAACCGTATCAGGTGTTTAATCTCAGACTGGAGCTTTTTAAGATAAAAGGTCAGCATGTCTATAAAAAGTTGGGACAGAGCAAAAAAAAAAAAAAAAAAAAAAACAGCTGGAAAGATCAGTGGTCCTGAAGAGAAACAGCTGGAGGAGCCGACTGATCACTTTGAGCATGTGCGTACATATACACACAAGATGGTATTCTCCTTCCTGTATATACAAGCGCGTATATACAGGAAGGAGAATACCATCTTCTAGCTCAAAGAGCAGTGGGAAGAAGTAACGTAGCTCAGCTCAGGCATGCAGCTTCTTCCTGAGTGTACGTAACATGTTCTATTATCATGCTGCCTCAGCCCATCACTGCATTAAACCACGTCTTTATACACGATTTAACCCAAACACAGACTCACAAAAACCGTTCCCAGACGTTCTCACCACGAGCACGTTAAAATCAACCATCTCTGTGGTCCAAAGGATCTTAAATATCAACTGGTAATAGATTACTTTGAGCTCTAAACAAAACAAGAGATCAATTACTAAAGCAGTTTCTGAAAACAGGTCTAACTCTGGATAGACAGAGATTTACTTCAATGCGGAATAAAGTAACAAGAAGTTTGAGACAGGCCAAAGCAAAATTTTTTATAAATATAATTGAAAGAGCCAAAGGTAATGGTAAAATTATCTGGCAACACTTAAATAAA